TTTGTTTTTTTTTTTTTTTTTTCAATTCTTTATTAACTTTATTGAATTTACATCCCGCAGAGAAGGCTCGGTAATAGGGACCTTAAGCTGCAGGACGCAACGACGACATACAATAGCACTAATTGCGCTATTCAAAATATACTCGTTGGAAGGTATGAAATACTGTGCATCATTGCCGTCTTATGCTGAAAGTAAGACGTGAAATGTCCTATTTTTACGTACTAAAGAGAACGGCTACGCCAAAAGCTTATTTTTGCTTATTAAGTAAAGCGCTCCCAAAAGACGACATTTCACTCTAAAACGGGGATGCTTATTGAGTAAAATACTAGGTAAACACGAAATGATAATACAATAGAAGGTTGAAGCGCAATTTCTCCGACGTTGTCGCCCACGTTGCCGTCCTGTAGCTTAAGGTCCCTAATACTAATTTGTGAAAATTTGAATTATTAATTGCAATGTAAAATCCGAAAAAAGTTTAAAATAGATCAAAGCAAATCTAAAGACACTCTATTAATCTAGTTTTTTGTGACTTTCCTTATTACAAACATAAAATGAGGAAAATGCTCTAAAGGTTAGATAATACTAATTCGTGCGAAAACTTGAATTATTAATTTCAAATTAAATCAGATAGAGAAAAAAAGTTTCTTCAAAAAAAATCTAAAGATACTATGCTAATCTAGTTTTTTGTGACTTTTATCATTATAATCATCATAAAAAGAGTAAAGTGCTCTGATAAAGAGACGACAAGAAAAATTATATACTGTAAGAGTAAGATTATATATGATATTATATTTTCAAAAGTTTAGTTTCACAAGGTGTAACAAGTTCTCTCAAACGTTCAATAACTTTGTTAGTTGTTACTCAATTTAGCTGCTAATGCATTTGATTAGGTTTGGCTCACTCGTCGACTTCATCTTTTTCATCTTTGTCTTATTGAAGGTTCTTCCTCTTGTATCTATCGATTTATTTCTCCTCCTTTCTCCTCTTGCTCTTGTCAGTCTACTGTCATTCCGTCCCGGCCTTTAAACTTAAAATCCCTAGCATTAATATGTCTGTAAGTTAAGTATTAACTTAACTTAACTCGAAGAAGGCATGCAGTGATTTGCAGCTCTGTGCGTGAGTTTCCTATACTTGGAAATTTTAGATTTTGTGCAGCAGTTAACGTACTTTAACGAATGTACAGTTTACCTCCTGGGTTAGGAATATTTCTCAAGTGATCAGTCGTTGTTGTACCCGTACCACAGCTATCGTGAACGGGATAACAGCCATCAACACGACCGTTTAGATTGATCATTTTAGAACTGCTAGAAGATTTCATTAAAACTCCACAAGCACTCAAAGATATTGAATTTGGAGCTCTCAGTGCACAATTTGGACTACGCGGTGGAATTAAATTTTTTACCTCTCGGCAAGTCAAAGTTCCGGGCTGCCAGTTAACGAAACTTCCAGTTCCCTCCTTGCAAGCATACCAGTTGATGATGTTTGGAGCGATAAGAAACTCACTACCGATCTTTTTCCATAGCGCGAAATCTATGGCCGAATGGGATGATTCATTGATTGGGGTGGTGTTAGACCGTGGTACGAATCTGTAAGCAGAAAAGTCGAGCGGCCAGGTTGGTATTGGGGTAACTGCGTTATCAGAATGAGAAAAGTAATCATACTTAGTAAAGGTATAGCTGTAGACAAGGGTCCAGCCTCCTCCATCGGTGGTCATGTCACAAAACACTTGGAATGGCGCAGAGGATGTCTCATTGAACTTCATCCAGTAAACACCTGACTTTGCCTGGCTGTCACTCTCCTTCAGGCTCTTGCAATTTGTAATGGGGTTATCAGGTCCCGATCCCGGCTCTTTATGCTCTCGTATTTCCATGTAAATGGTATTTTGCTGGTTACGATCTTTTCTGGGTGTGTGGTCTTGGTAGAGTACTTCAGTTCACATGTCTTGTTCGTCAGGTTGATGTTGATGCTTGCACAACGTTTGTTGTCTTCACACTTTCTGTAACATTCAAAGATTGTGTCCACCTGTAAAGATTCAAGGGTGAATCCTTGCAAGTACAGGTTGAGCTCTGAACGTCCTTGTATCGGCCACATCGTAGCGTAGGTGGCTTCTTGCTTCAGGAGGAATAGGATAAGTACGGATAAAGTTTGTGTGATCATTTTATCTGAAACAAAAAACAGAACTGAGAAAGAAAACAAAATTAGCCATGAAAACGAATTCACTTGATACTAGTATTAATAATATCATTTGTAAATTATGTAGCAAAATAAAATATATTCGCTGTATTTCTTGACAGTGGATTAAAGAACGTTTACAAGAGTAATGAAACCTACCAAATGAAATAGCTAGAAAACGAATACACACAAAAAGAAGAAAAAGGGGAAGTCGAAAAAATAATGATGTGCGAATTCATGATCTTAACTTCATATTGACGACATCGGTTAGTGCTGAACACCCCTACTTTTTAGCGTCTCAGTCACTAAAGTGACTCGCCTTAGTTGTTTTCGCGCTTACGAAGCGGCGCTTGATGGACTCTAGCTTCCCTTCCAGCAGAGCTTTCTTTGGTTAAGTTTTTCTACATTCGCTTTGTAATGTAATATAAACTTTCTAAAAAAGACTTTGTTCAAAATCGGTTATATTATTACGTGGGAGCACCAAACTAATAATGATGAGAGCCACCTTAACTTAACTCCTTTCAGCTTACCTTCTTTCAGCTTACTAATCGAGAGTCACTCTCGTTGTTTGTTCACTGAAACTCTCAAAATTGTGGCAGGTTTCTTATAGCATTCTCTCGTTTAATCAATATTTAATCTTGTTTTTTTTAGACGTAAGATGTCAAGGGAAGCTTCTCCTTTATGTTATTAGGCCCTATTCTTTAGTAATTACCTAAAAAAATGTCACCTTTCTTTTTTCAATTAAAGTTTGGTTTTTTTAACAGCTTTATTGGGAAACTAATATTACAATGTGTTGAATAGAAAAAAAACTAATAGTTACCCAGAAAGGAAAGTCACGAACGTGAAATAAAAAAAAGAATGGAAAAATAAGTTCATTAAGATAAAACTAGTGTACTTTATGAGGTTATAACCTCTATGACAGGAACATTCTCGAAAAGCAGACCAGGTACAGTACAGTACAAGACCTGTCAATATCAAAAACAGAATCAAGTAAAGAAAAATAGCGTACTGAAATGTGGTTTTTGAAATTAGCTATACTAGAAAAACATGTAGAAGGAGAAGATTTACAAATGGAATTCCAAAGTTTAACGATGCGATTAAAATATGAGGCCTGAAAAGTATTAGAGTTACAGAAAGGAACCTTGAGCATCAATCTAGGATTAAGATAGTTACGAAAGAAAGTCAATATGTCCATAAAGAGCTTTATAGAAGAATATTGAGTCTTTGACTTCCCTGTCGTAGCACAAGGGAAGCAGATGGAGAGCTTGCGGGCGTTCTTTATAGGCGGTCTCACCTAATCTTGTTTTTTATGAAGCCAAATTTCAAAAGCCAAAGTTTATTATGAAGCCAAATGGAAAAAGCCAAAATGCAAGTTTAGCTATTTTAGAGTGTACTGTACTCATATATCTGTGAAACAAAAATCATCGCTCTTTAAAAATATTTTTAAAATAATATTAGCATAGGTAATCACATGGTGACACAAGTGAAACTAGGGATAAATTCCAAGCTTGTTCGTCAAAACAACGTAAAGGGGAGGGAAATTACGCAGATTTTGACAAACACAAGTGAGATTTATCCCGTATTTCACGAGTTACCAATATGATTACCAATTCGAATATTAGAAAGGGCAAATTACGGCAGATAAATAAAGGCTTTCATATTTCAATACCGCGAGATGCTACCCGAAGGCTTAAGTGAAAATGAATTTTAAAAAGCTAAAACTAAAAACAGAGCTAAAAACAAACTGAGTTTAACTGATTCAGTGAACTTTATTACTATTATTGAAAATTCAGGGATTTACAACAAGACTTCACCATGTAATAGTTAGTGAAATATCTTTTTTATCGCCCAATCCCATACATGAACCTTTGCAAAGCTGCACCAACAGTTGGTTTTTTTTTTTCAGGCAATCACATCGCCTTTTGCCGACGGCCCCCATTCCCAGGATACCGGTAACCCAACTTTTGCGCGCGTATTTTTCTGCTTTCTTTTAAATAAAATAAATTATGCTTGCCTCAAAGAGCAGAAATATGGAAAGGAACTAAAAACAATTTCACTTTACCGCCATGTTTGTTTCGTTCTCTCAAGCTCCAAAGAATCTTAGGTCCGGTCATGTTGTCCTATCATGCTTTGCGCGCCTCGTTCAACGCACAGCTGGGTAAAATTACAAATTACGCCTGAAATTTCACATTGAAATTAGGGAGTAATTTGTCCTCTATAGTATTAGTATAGGAAAACGTACGATCTCGAGTACAATTCAGAATTAATAGCTACGAGTGATGTTTTGAAAGTTTTCAAAATTGGACAAGCCTTTAGGCGATTTCAATTTGAGAACTTTCAAAACATCACGAGTATCTATAATCTCCGAATTGTACGAAAAAAGACCGTACGATTTTGTGTTTATAATACACTCAAAAAAATGAGCAACTTAATTGAGATTCTACAGAGTACAATTTGGGATTTAATTGTACTCCTCTCGTCCACTCAGAATCGAAAAATTTTGCTGAGTAAATGAATTTTAAAATGATATAGGTTTTGAAGGTCCAATAAAGTTTTTTGGTAGCCTGATTACCCCCCCCCCCCCCTAAAATTAGTAATATGGAGCAAAACAACATACTACAGGAGGTTGGGAATTTAGTTTAAAGTTTAAAGGAGTTAAAAAGCATTGCTTTGAAGGGTTTTCATTTTAGGCCTCTTACGTCCATTAAAAATGATACTCTGAAGAAAAGGAAATTCGCAAAACTCAAAACTCAAACGCTCATTCCAAATAGCCCTATAATACTTCCTGCTCAAAGTATAGCTCTTCTTCTCTCATTTACAGTATTTATCTTTTTTATCCAAACCTTTCAGCATAATGATAAGCAAAGGCCTTTGAGTTGCAATGCTCGTGAGTACATCTCAAAAACTGCGAGTTTCATCATGTGCCATCTCTCTAAATCTTAATATATATATTTAGGCACTGCCTAAAAGCGGAGCTCCCGATACGGAAGTCACAGGGAGAACAATTTGAATGAAACTGAAAGGTAAAAATAAGATCGGGGAAAAAATCTTCAATTATTTTTTATTCGAAATGATGATATAAATTTCTCCCAATAAAAACCATGCAGTGAAATCGAATCAAAATCCATTACATCGTTTTTTGTTTTTTGTTTTTTTTCTGCGCGAGTGTACTCTCCAACTTAGGAATTTTGTACACAACTTACCACCATCCCCAGGGGCTAGTTTTGTTCTTGGAAGATTCTTCGACAAAAAGTTTTCCAAGGCCGACAGTTTTAGGCTTTGGATCTCTTTTACTTAAAGAAAAACGAAAGCTAACTACAGATAATCCAATACAATATCAAGTTTAGTGAAATATACCTCGGATGTCTTTCATTGAGATCGAAAATTAGAACAAATCAAGACCAAAAAACAGACTTGAAAACTGGTTAAGGTGAGCAAAAAATGAGGTTTACTTAAAAAAAACAGAGCTTACATTCATTTAAACAGTTGACAAGAACAACTGAGACAAAATAAAAAATAATGCAAAAGGCAATGCAAAATACAAAATGACTCATTTCTTTTGCAGTAAATTGGCGTTTGTAAATGTTTTTGAATATTTTTTAGCTTTTTAGAGTGAAAGTCTGGTAGGTCTTTATACAATAACATCTTTCAACAACACAAATTTAAGCTGATTTTTATAATCATATTTGCTCGAACAGCTTAATAACATTTTAACCAACAATTGCGTCATGTTTAATCGCCTATAGTTCCGCAACGAAATGCTTTACAGCCTTAAGATTTGGCCAGTATATGTAGTTTTGACAGCTTTACAAGATTATGAAACTTGTATTTCATGATAATGCGAATTTACGCTTTTGAAATTCATGATGACGTAGGTAAAAACCAAGAATTGAATGAAAGTCTTCTTTGTTTTGCCGAAGGGACTCCACAATAGGAGGCGAACAAAGCTGCATTTTTCTTGAACGAAAAACATATGATAGTTGGTTAAAAACAACCGAATTGTTAAAGATTTACATAGCTAAATAAAGGTCGAATTTTTGTTGTCGTAATAAGCTCTACGTGTTATATTTCCTCCAGCATTAAAATAAATTAAGCTTATATATATCTATGTAAATATAAAAAGTTTTGAGAGAAAGTCTTTGTTTTGTCGATTCGTCGAGAAAAATGCTTGTCAAAAAATATATATATAATATACGATTGTTTGCTAAAAAATACGCACCTGATTTCTTGAAGAACACTTCTTCATCCACCTTTGACTACATGAAAGTTTTTTTTAATTGCTTTTGGTCTATGATTTGTCCTAAAGCGATGGTTTTTTTTTTTGTGCATTTGAGAGCCGCATTTGTGAGTAATTTTGCTTTGACATCAAGCGGGATTCCTGTGTTGTGTACACGGACGCACGTACGTACGTACGGAAGTACGGAGCCTTCTGGCATTTAAATCAGAGTATAGTATCCTGGCTTTGAGCAGGAGTGTAACATTCATACTAAGTTCAATTCATTAAAGTTACCAGCGCAAAAAAACCGATTACATTGATCTTCATAACTCAAATCTCGAACAATTAAGGTCAGTAGAACAGATGAAAAGACAAAAAAGTCGGCATAACAGTATAACAGTTTATTTGCCATTAGATATTCATTATATGCAAAATATATACATATAAATAATATTTATGATACTGTTGAGGAAGTCAGATTTGAAGCCGTGAGGCTTATTAAGGAATCAGACTTATTCATTTAGTAATTGATGGTTAAGAAGAAAAAGATATTGTGACATGATGTCAAACTAGATATCAAAAATAAAGATGATAACTTGTTTCTATGACAATAATTTGGGTTCAATTGTCTTTTTATTTTTTGTGTAGATATATCATAAGAAATACTTTGCTTAATTTCATTACTAAGTGAATTAAACAAAGTAAGGCTTTGATATTGGATAGAAAATTGTCGCCAATTTAGTTCTAACATGAGGAATATGAAATAGATGTTTTTTGATCTAGTGTTGTAATTGTGAATTTGACTATTTAAGGTAAACATTTCTTGAAATTTGTAAGGAAGGTTTTTATTAATATAAGAAAACATCATATCTGTAATTTTTGAATATCCTGTAATTTCAATAAGGAAATTTTTTGAAAATAGAATCAGTGTGTGCCAAGAATTCACTAATTATCCTGTCTATATTCGTTTCTGCAGTACAACCAACGTACCTCGAGAGGTCCTTTGCTCGTCATGTTTGAATTTTGTACATTGTCAATCCTGAGGAGAGAAACGGCGCCTTACAACCCTCAGTGTAGAGAGAAGATATAACTAGCTTAAAACTAGTGTGAGCTGCGTCGGTGTTTCTAATGAAACAGTAATGATAAAACGGTAAATTATACACCGTGAAAAGATGAAAAAAACTTACTGACGTTTCGGACGCTAGTCCTTCGTCGGAATAAAAGAGCTATAACCCTCAGTGTACATAGGAACCTTGTTTACTGCAAAACGCACAAAGTCAAAGTCCAGGTTTCTAGATTTTGGAAGCTTAATGCTGATTGGTCCCTACATCACTTGTCTATACAATGCGGCCTTCTGAGCTGGTAA